GTTTTTCGGAACGCGCTTTTTTCGGAAAAGCATAGTCGAAAATCATTCCGAAATTCGGAATGCAAAACCTCTCTAGTGTTGTCGGCTAGAACCTCGTAATGTGATCCTGTCCGGTGCAGAACACTACTCAAGGCATCATCCAGGAGCTCACAATTTGCAGCTTGGTTACATGGTCTCTGGTCGGCCGTTTGTTGACTCTTCTTTTTCGGCCTACGGGCTGGTGTGAAGCCATCACTGTCGTCATCTTCTTGTGCCGTATCATCTGTAGGAGTGTGCTCAGCCCTGGACTTGCCACGCACGGCGGGGGTTGTCTGACCTGCCCTGGGCTTGAGCTCACTGGAGTTCAAGTCTACCGTAGCGTTGTTATCCTGAATAGGTTCAACTGTTGACGTAGCATTGTTATCCTCAACAGGTGCTGTTGATGTTTTGGTCAGTTCTTTTTGTATCACAGTGGTCTCACGGGATGTCTGGCGGCGTGGGCAGCTACGGGATTTGTGACCCGGCTGGTGACACTCCCAGCATGTCGATTCTTGTCCCTCGTGCCAAAGGCGCAATCTTGTTTTCATTTCTGGTACAACTAGCGTGCTGGGGATTGACCTCAGGGGCGTACCGAGTATGAACCGTCTCCCGCTCTCAACCATCACATCCACCCCCTTACCTCTGCAAGGCGGACTTTCTGCCGTGATGGTCCATGGACAATTTTCATAAATGGTTCTAGCATGGTGACCAAAGTGGCATCCTCGAGGACAAAGGGGCACCCAATTACATGTAGCCGGACAACATCATCACCATAAAAGGGACGTACCTGCACAGCAATGTTTCTGACGGTCAAGCCCTCCGACAGCAGCCTTTGGAGACACTCTTCCTTATCCAGAGTTACTACGCAATGACCCCGGATACGATCAAAATTTACCTGCTTGATGCAGTCAGGGCTCCTTATTTGGGCTGGCAAAGCATCAAGGTACGGCCGAAAAGACTCTCGGCCGTAGCCATCTACCGGAAAGGAACAGTAATGGTACATGTCAGCAGCACTGCTCGATCTGACCAAGGACCGCGTGCCCTCAGATGCAAATGACTCGGCCCGATTTGCGGTTGCCATGAGCAGCATCGGTTAAAGCTCCCTCCCGAGGCTCCGTACTAGACTGTTTTCACAGCCATTTTTGCTCTCAGCCCTTTTTTTGCTCTCTCGACTGTTTTCACAGCCATTAATTTTTTGCTCTCTCGACTGTCTTCACAGCCATTTTTTGCTCGTTTTTCTTCCGGTGCTGTTGAGGTTGCACTCGTAATTGTGTTTATTTTGCCCGTATAAGAGGCTTGGCAGTTATTGGTGAAAAAAATCTGACCAAGGATGGATCAGAGCACCAAAATTCCAAACCGACTTCAAAAGCTCAAAAAAACCTCTTCTCTTGCGACGGGCGTATGCATGGTATGTGTGTGCGTGCGTGTGTGTGTATGCTTCTGGGATAAGTGGATCAAGCAGTATACAGGGTATTCACAGGTATTCGCCTTGAGTGCATTTGCCGATAGTGTGACTTTCGTCGCAGAGAACTTTGCTCAGTCGGTCAGGCGACTCGGCCTTACGTTTCCTGAAGGCAATGTGTTCAGAACACAGTTACTTCAAGTATGAACAGCTATGAACAGTTAAGAAATGACAAATATTGTGTGTAGTTCATGGACAATAATGTGAAACACTTTGAATGCAGAAGAAGTGAGGATAGTGGCATTAAATGCTGCATGGATTCTGTTTGATATGCTACTTTTTTCCCTTCCATGGAAAGGTGAGTACATCCTCGAACTTCATCTCGAAACTTCACACAAACCTAGAATGGAACTTGGACAACATGAAGGGGCCATGGGCATGGTGTGTTCAGTGGAGAACTATTCCGAAAACAGGGTGTCATTCGCACTTACTCAATTCAAATTTTAGTACATTTCGTGAATAACTTACCTTGACATTTCGTCGTCTCCAAAGCAGTGAACTTCCCAAAAAAAATTAAAAGCCACGGCTCAACCTAAGGTAATGCGTGGTACGTATCAGAAACAACCAGCTTTCGCTCTGGAGATCCAGAATAGGCCTCGAAGCATAGCAAAAACAATTGAGAAAAAGAAGAAGACGACGACGTTTCAATCACGCATCAAATTTCGCGGGTCGAGTGCAGCAATCCTCGGATCGTGAAATGTGTGGCGTGTCGCCTCCTGGTATTTTACGACTCCCTGGTATAAATTAATCCTTGGCTCTCCATTCGAGTCCATTTAAAGATTTCCTAGAGATATAGGCAAAACTGAAGAAAGTGCCATTGCTTCACTAGGAGGCTGTACGAGGTGATTTGACTCTTTTAATTATGGTTGTAAACATGACGGTTGTTCAGCCACTTCTTGGCAAGCTACGTCCAAATGAATTCTTGCAAGTGGAAGTGCTATCCTTATTATAAATGTCCGTTATCTCAAAAAATGGGAATGTTCCCACTTTGGAGAGGGTCCCGAATCATGCCCTACTCTCATAGTATTCTCAGGATTCAAATAATTGGTGTGTCATTTTTTAATAAACTTGTAAAATGTTGAGTCACCTCCACCATTAAACTGCGCTCTTTAGCCGACTAGCACACAACCATCACCATTGCGAGGACACTTTCCAGCGCAGTTTAATGGTGGAGGTGACTCAACATTTTCTTCAATGGCCGAGAGCTCTGTCGCACCCTGTAATAACTTGTAAAATGGCATCACAAACTGGGATATTCGGTCATCAATGTTCTGAAGTTGATAGATATTCTACAAACTCATAATTTCTCATAATTTCTCATACCTTTTCACAAAACGCGGCATACTTTCTATAAATTCATAAAATGTATGTCCGTCATACCCTAGATATTAGGTGAATCGTCATCATTAGCCATCCATGTAATTTCTTCATCATTTCTATTATTGATGATAGCGGTGAGTGGGCCAGCGATGTCTGTGCGGCATCCTTTGAGGAGACATGGTGGTATTTCATCGGAACCTTGTGCTTTGTGGCTGTTCAATGACTTCAAGACATCTTCAACATACTCTACTGTGACTGGCGTAAACTCGTCAAGAGTGGGAATGTCGACTGGTGAGCTGGGTAGAACAAGTTCAGATGGTCTGGCAGGATCACGGACTACGGTTGCAAATGTGGCTATAAGGTCGGATATAGTCGCCTTAGGTAAGGATTTGACTTTTTCTCGTCCTGCAAGCTTGTTCAGGATTTGCCACTGGGCTCTGGGGTTGCGTTTGTGGGTGTTGAAGGCCTTCACGCAGGCTTCTGTTCTGAGTTTCTTATTCAAGAGGGTTCCCTCGCGCCGTGCTGCCCGGTACTGCTGGAGGAGGGGGCCGTCGGTTGGGTTCCTTCGTAATTTCCTGTGCAAGTTTATTCGAAGCTGAAGAAGCTTTTTCAAGTGTGGCGTAACCCATGGTTGCCGACGAGGCCTGCCAAATCCAGACACCTTGAGCTGAGTGATCGGAGCATTTCTGTCCAGAACATGTCTCAAACACTTTGAAAAGTGCTTCACTTGACCGTCCAGGCTGGTGGGCTACTCCCAAGTTCTGAAACTTTCACTGATTTCCTGGCCACATTGGTCGAAATCCATAGAATGGGGTGCAGGCTTCCGAATCAGCCTGTGAGTGTGCGCAGGAATGGGCTCAAGGTCTTGATAGGCACATTGGACAATGCTGAGATCGTGATCACAAACACCGTTCATTGAGACTACTTCCGCCTTGACTACAGGGGGAGCCGTCAGTAACCAGAGCAAGATCTAGGCATGTACGTGCTAAACGAGTGGGTTCAGTGATAACATTTCTGAGGTGATGCTCCGCACGGACACGCTGTAGATGGCGATATCCTGGAGTCGTTGGCTGGAGGACATCAGTATTGAAGTGGCCTAGGATTAATGCATTCGGAGTTTGAAGGGCTAAATCAAGTTCAGAGCTCAACTGGTCCCAGAAATCCACTGTGGCAGACGGCGGGCGATACAAGGTGGACACACTAATGTCTGTTGCACGTGGCTTGGTAGCAAGACGGATACGGACAGTTAATATCTTTACAGTGGATCCTCAAGTCTGCGGACAGCAACTGTTTCGCTCTGTTAGAGCTCATCAGCACAGCTCAGAGGATCCTGTAGATCGTTGGAGTACGGTTCCAGCAAAGTGAGAATGAACATAAATGCAGACACCGCCACCATGTATAGTGCGATCACAGCGGAAAACGTTAAGTTTAGATATGTTAAGGCGAGCATCGCTAACAGTGGAGTCCAGGTGAGACTCGGTAATACATAGGACGTGAACTTTATGGTCAGACAATAGTTGTTGAATTTCATGAGTTTTGTTTCTGAGGCTGCATATGTTTATGTGTGCTACTACAAGTGGGTCATGGGCAGAGTATTTAAGGAGACATGCAAAGTGGATATTACTTGGGGTTTTACTTCTTACTTGATTGGGAGCTCCCAAGTCAACAGGCTCCCGTTGGCCGATGACCCACTCAAACAACTGGTCCTTCAAGTTCTCGACATCATTTTCTTCTCAGAAAACGCCTCGCTCTTCCGCCAGGTTCGGAGCAGAGCAGCCTCGGCCTCGTAGGTCCACGGACTCATCTCGAGAAAAACAGAGGGAACAAAACAAACCTTGAAGAGACGATTGTCGGATGACTGCTCAACTCAAGCAACTGTCTTGAAAATAATTAAACTTAAAAGACACTGTTTTTCCGCCAAGCGTCACTCCCACCAGCGGCACCGCAGCCGATTTCCCCACGTCAGATGCAGCAGCGTCTGACGCTCAAACTTCCCGCGTTTGCGTCAGTTGCCATGGAAAAGCTCATGATTCGGACGCTGACGCAGCAGTTTTGCCGTAGTGTGACCGAGGCCTTAGCGAACGTGTGGATCAAGTAAAACTGCTTGGTTGACGCTGCCGCTGGAATGCGTAAAATAATACAACTTACTAAAGTGAAAATAGTGGGAGATGCCCCCCCCCCAAAAATAACATCCGGGAGAGTAGGGACTCCAAGATGAAGCAAGTGCTGGTGAGGCAAGCCAACAAACTTGACCTCTGCTGTCGGCGTTAGTTAGTACAAGCGTACACTGTCTTCATGACAAACATTGTAAGTACATGTTTATTCCACAACCATTCTGGTCGCATGGGCGCCAAATGTGTCGTAAGGCAGCAGAAGCAAACGAAAAAAAGAGAAAAGACTAACCGCATTAACTAAACCGCTGCCTACACTTATCACGATCAGCAGCAACAGAGAGAGAGAGCACATGGATTGTATGTTTGATGAGTGATATACCATAAATCGGGGCGAACAGAGATAGAGGCTCAGAAGATACGAGAGTGGGCGAGGGGAAAGGGAGATGAAATACCAATTATCATAAGAGAAAGACTCAAACCAATCTGGGCCTCACTTTCATCTCGAAGAATGTCAGCTCCTCCAAGGCTGTTGAGAATCGTCTATCATGCAAAACGTAGTAACACGAGGAATACCACCATCCAATTTTATACGTACCGGCGCAGTTGAGGCGAGTTTGCCTATCATTGTCCCGATCATAAGTGGTGAATGGCATTTCGTGATACTCCAGACCTTGTCCCACTGGAATAGTGAAGGACGACTCTACCGTGCGACTGACTGTTAGACGATAAAGTTCTTCTTCGCTTCCAACTCTCATCCAATTGTACTTAACGAAATGAGTAGCAGTTGGTGTTGCGAGATCAATGCGAACTTCGTACTTCTGGCTTTGCGTCAGTTTATGTATCCTGTCGTTTCCCAGCCAGAATTTCCCGTTCAGGTCTCCAAACCCGTTCTTATAGGCTGCCCAATCACGGTTCCAGAAAGTAGAGTCACTTCCGAGCGACCTCAAAACAACTAGCCATCCACCACCGTCCAGGGACATATTGCAAACAGTTTGGTATGAAGTATTGCCAACGTTGGCTGTCACTACCCGGGTTCTGCTGCTTCTGTAGGTTGTAGCACCCCTCTGCCGTTTGCATCCGCCCAGAGCTGTGATGGGGAAAGCACACAAAGATATCAAAAAAATCATAAATACACACTCGCGTATGGCCAAGTAGTTTGATGTGATACTTCTCTACAATTGTAGCTTTAACCGACCTTCCCTCATTCCTAGCACGCAATTTACTACAATGGGTTGAAACGCTGTCGAAACGCTTTGAATTTGCGTTCGCTGGGCCATGCAACCAGTTTACATAAAGGTGCTTGCCCAATCTTTAGCTTCGTAGTCGTCATGAAACTGCAATGTCCTCGTAATGTTTGGGTAACTTGACACCAACCACGTCTACTGCTGACCTATGTTTTCCAATTCCATGTTCATGTAACACTGTGCATGATAATCTCTAGTTCATTCTCACCTACACAGGAATGAGATCTTTGGTCGGTGGAGCCCCGGGTACCTCATCATCACTGCTGCCCAGTGCAACCCCTACTCAGTAGCTGTTTGTTTTTGTCCACATAATTATTTATTTTACGAGTTGGGTTTGTGAATGATAGTATAAAAATTAAAAATATAAAAATCTCTACTGTGCTGTTACTCAATCACTGTACATCTAGCTAGTCTGATCTTGGTATGTCTCATCAGCGGAGGTCAGAGCAACTAACTGAACTAGAGTTTTTGTCATCAAAAGTTTGGAAAAAGTTCACGTCTGGAGGTTGCAGAACCGAAAACAACATAGCCAACTATGACACGGGAGACGGAAAAAGTGCGTTACTTCTACAAACAAACCGTGTTACCTGCCTGTGTCGACCTGCTTGCCTCTTTTGTGCGCAGGAGAGCCTGAATGGACAAAGTCTGTACGCAACAAAGTGAAAACCATAGAGACAACTTTCATTAAAACAAGAACGGGTGCAAGTATATGAACTTGCCAGGGGTGATTCGCATTTGCAAAGTCATCTTCCATTGCCAAGAGTTGTGAACTCCACACTGCGCTTGGTTCAACGGAGTTTCATTTATATATAAGGGCTTCCTGCGTGCTAGCTTTTATATCAAGTGTGTGGGTTGCAGTGAGGGCTGCGTCCCACCAGCCTGTGTGGATTCACAGGAAATGTGAGTTACAAAGTCTGAAGAAAATGTTGAAGGGTCGCTGCTTGGATGATGATTACATCAAAAAGGTTAGTGGTAAAACATCGCTGGCCATAAGCGAACGACCCTGGTTCACATCCTTCTGAAGACAATCAATCTCATCTTCAGACTTTGCCCGTTTACAGCTTTCCTTCAGAGGTTTGAATATTATACAAAACGTGGCAGTCAAGATTCACTGTGGCCGGCTAAAGTAGTGAGAAAATGTGTGAAAGCTAGGTGGGGATTTGAACGAAAAGATTTTATTCAAATTGAAACCCTTTAAAACTGACTTGTTCATGTAAGGTGACACTATCCTCTGGAGATAGGGCACAAAGACCCGTCTGCGTGGTGGTCGTCAAACATTTGGCTGATTTGCAGTATTTTGGGGTTTGTGTTGTGCCTATAGCTTAGTGGTCGAGCTATCGACTGGTAATCTAGAGACCTTCGGTTAGATCCCCAGACTTCTTGTCTGCTCAAGTCAGTCAAGTATTTTCATTTCAGTAAAAGGTTACTTGTACATGTAACACACACACACAAACACATACTCACATACAAAGACACGCACACACAAGTCCGAAACTCAAATATGCTCACATTGTTTGAAACGTTAGCTGCAATAGCGTCGAGACGGTCGTCGAGTCTGCTCATCAGCCTTTTCTCCATGCCCTGTAGAAACGTTTCAGTCGATTTCCAGTTGTCAGAGATCCGCACGGTCATCCTTGACACGTCATCAACAATACCTCTGACTGCGTTGGACAAGGGAGAAAGTTCACCCTTTGTAACCCAGCGAGCTGTAAAAAAACAGAAAAGATTTGAACATAATCACAGAACTACATTCAATTTCCTCTATACAGTAAAACAAAAAAATTGGCCGATGAGAAACTTTGGCCGATCTCGAAATGAAACTTTTGGCCGTCATTTAACTTTGGCCGATTCAGGTTTTCAAAAAAGAAATCTATTTGTACTTGTTGGGAAGTTGTTGCCCTCATATTCCCAAATTTAAATCATTGTCTAAGTCTCTCTTCATGTTCCGAACTGCTATTCTATGGAACTGTTTACCCCCCAGTCTAACATCGGAAGCCTCGCTCTATAAGTTCAAAGCTGCCCTCAGGAAATTTACAGCTGACTATGCTTATGCAATCAACGGAATTCCGCCACCTTGCAGTTGATTTTCCCCATTTCTCTCCTCATCAATCCCTACTTCTCTTTGTACATACATCTACATCTACTGTTCTTTCAATCAAATGAACCCCTCGATAGGCACATTGCCTTTGGGTCATTTCATAATAATAATAATAATAATATGCAGCCATGTCTCAATAACGCATCATTTGCCTCTATGACAAATTTTGGCAATTTACTTTGGCCGGGTGAAACCAAACGGCGAAATCAGAGAAATCTAATCGCCAGCGAAAATTAGTTGATTTACGGTACATTACTATATACCAGTAATAGGATATGGTGTGTGCGGCAGAAATACGTGCAAGGTCGTCACCATCAAGAGACCCGATCTACTTTAGTAATCCGAATGACGAGTTCTCTGTTCATTGCTAGCTATAGGATGGCTATAAATTTTTAAAGATGCTAAGTGGTATCTTTTTTGCGGACCCTTCTTTTCCACTACACGGGTAGAAGTGAACAACAACTTGAGCAGGACTTTTTCCATAATTTTTTAGCACACACAATGCTCAAAAGGTACACTTGGACTTGGTTTCTTGGGATATTTTATGTGGCTTTGCCAGAATGGACAGGCATTCCTGCGTTCTTGCCTGGAGAAATAAAACGTCACAGCTCTTACAAAATGACGAAGAAAGGAAAGGAGTATTACACGAGAGTGGGGAGCATGCAAAATATGAGAACGAGAGAGCGAGTGAGAGCGAGTGAGAAAGAGAAGAGATGCTGCCTTTTTGACAGAACTAGTGAACTTTATCTAGAAACTCCGCTTCAAGGTGTTGCCTCGGTATTACGTGGAACTAAACGCATGTACAACGTGTAGCAGAGCATGCAGCTATTCATGTACAGTAAAACCTGTGAACAACGACCACCCCTCGGGGCCAGAGAAAGCGGTCATTAGTGGCAGGTGGTCCTCAGTTAGAGGTTTGCACCGCATAACCATAAGAATATATGAATGGGAAACCGTCCGTGTCTGGCGACGTGGTGTGTAGTACCAGGCTGGTCGCTAGTCAGGGTGGTCTTTAGTTACAGGTTTTACTGTACATGATGCATAGCCCGATGCTATGTTACTACAGTAAAACCTGTACTAAAGACCACCCTGACTAGCGACCAGCCTGGTACTACAGACCACTTCGCCAGGCACGGATGTTCCCACATTCACAGGATAATGGTTATGCGGTGCAAACCTCTAACTAAGGACCACCTTACACTAATGTCCACGTTTCTCTGGCCCCAAGGGGTGGTCATTAATCACAGGTTTTACTGTACTCGCAGAGCAGTACCTTGAGAGCAGTGCCGGCCAGTCCAGAATTTCGAGCATGAGCAGCGGTAAGCTCCAGCTGGAAGAGGTACGCATCTCCCTGCATTGCCACAGGGTGCTCTGGAGCATGGCGAGACCTCTGGACACGTCACACCAATACACACAACACACCAAAAGAGAGGGCTCTGCGCTCTCAGAGCTTCTCTGTGTGTGCCCTGAGTCAGAGACTAATCCTCAAAGCAGCAATGGAACTCTGAAACGACCAAATAGGCAAATGTGCAGGAGTTGAATATGGCCTAATGAAACCTTTAAAAGGCATAACATGGGCTCATAAGCCTAGGGCACCAGAACGTCGTCATGCAGAATGACACCAAACACATGTACAGTATAGTACACACCTCTCTCACAGTTCGTGCCAGTGAAGCCTGATGCGCACTTGCAGTGATAAGCCCTGTGACCTGCGCTCGCAACTGCTCCATAAACACACTGCCCATGTTCTCCACAGGGTGCTTGACGGCCACATGTCTCATCCTCTCGACCTGCAGAATATAATTGAAATACTAGTGAGCATGATAATGGCCAGCAGGGTGCTCCGTTCCTAGAAGACTTCTTTATGCTCTGACACAACGTGCATCACATAGCAAGACGATACACAATCACTTAGTGCACGTTTCACGATTTGAGTGTAACTGACCATATTCCTAAACTATCATGGATATTTCAATAGGGTTTGATGACACGAATTTTTGGGTTTGAACTCACTCTACAGCTTTCAATGAGAACTCTCTTTGTTCTAGTCACTCCTATCTTACAACATTGCCCTCGAGTGGAAATGTTTCTGTGTCGAGTCACTATGACGACTACCGAGATAGAAAGAACATACCAGCACAGCGATTATTTCAGTACAGTTCCATGGTATAAGTTTAATTATTAGAATAATAGCTTGAAGACCCCATAATTATGTAGATCTCTATTTGGACTTGTAATTGGTGGCGAGCACACGCCGAATAACTTACTCAGACATTGAATAAAACTCCTTGCTTTAGAAACGCCGCCGAATAGAAACGAGAACAGAACAACCCGCTGGCTGGCGGTGTTTGTTTCGTCCATTGGCGCTGCGTTGCTTTCCAGTACGTCTTGTTTCACTTGGGCCTCGGCATCAGACAGTGTCGGATCATGTAGTTTGATCCACGCGACCATACAGGTTCCTGTGTTGTACAAGGGTTCAACAACAGTCCTAGCGATGAATGCGTATAACACAAGGCAACATCGAATGGCTTACAGATTTACAGGGCCTAGGGGAACATCTTGTACCCTCCCCCCTCCATTTTACAGTATAAATGTAACGCTTGAAAGCTGTATGAGCGAGAGCGAGACTCATCAGTCATCATACAGGTGCCCTCGAAAAGAAACACCACGGTAATTATTTTTTATCCTTAAAATGCACTTTCCAGAGGAGCTACAGTACAACGTCCATGCGATTCAATGGAGAGACAGCAGCAACCTGGATCTCTCTTTGTGTAGAACAAGATACACGACAAGTTCACCTTCAAGACTTGCACAGTGAGGTGCGATTTGGGCATAGTTTCATGTACTCACCGCTCCTCGACTGTACGGAATTGCTGGTAATGTTAGCAGCGCTTCGTTCCCCACGCAGTTCCGCATACGCCCCAGTTCCAGTCATCGCCAGTAGCAATAGTGACATGAAGCAGTGCGGAAGTATCGCCATTGCTGCAATGATATACTCCTGGCGCTAAAAGTATTGATCTAAACTTCCCCTCGCCCTAGAGAAGGTGTATATAATACCGAACTACGACAATCTAATCAGCGGAGAACACACTTCGATTACACCTCACTAATCTCGCAGACGACAGCTGTAAGTGCGTTCAAAGTTTTCTTCCATCGCAATAAGAAGTGGCTCAAGGCTGAGCTGGATTGCGTTTTGGATCCCTTCATGTGTCCGGCGCGGCTGGTATTGCGAGCATCACCTGCGGCCTCCATGGCGTTGGCATGGTCCTAACTGTCTAAAAGCCTACCACACATGAGGCCTAAAGTTCGGAGTGATCTCCTGTACTTGTAATTGCTACGTATTATAGATGTACATGTACTCAATCTGCGGACAGAACTGTTTCGTCCTTTGTGGACTCGTCAGCGCAGCACAGAGAAAATGAGGCCGAACCTGATAGCAATGGAAATAAAAATTTCCAATCAGGCCCGAACGTACCTTGCCAGAGTGCTCAAACTGACAAGTCAGTGAGCTCTGCATAAAGCAAACAGCAAAGGCACTACCCCATGCAAGAGTGCTCAACTGCTACAAGAGCAGGAGCGAAATACTCAATCTGCGGACAGTACATGTATGTATGCCGGTCACGCCACGACGCATGCTTGCACTGGATGTAATAGTCATGTGACATACGTGACGGCTGCCACATGGACTGTCGATTGGCCATGTCAGTGACGGCTCTCTGGGAGCTCTATCCGTTAGCGTTTCAGTCGTAACTTGCAGAAAACATTGTGCATTGTATATGTACATATGGGTGTTCACGCTGATCGGGCCAAGAGGATGCATGTTCGGGTTGACCACAGATTGTCTGCAGACCGTACCATTACGTTCTCTTTGTCCTGCATATGCATTATATTTTTGGAATTTTGAACCCCATTTGCATCAGCAGTGCATTATGCACATCAGAGTACTCAATAAGAGTGCTTACTGATCACCACTCCATACAGGCAGCAGATGAATTAGAAAACTTTACATCACTAGTCATTAATTTAAACAAGCCAATGACTTTTGCACAGGTTAAAATCTATACCTTACCCATAACCCTGGTCCGCAAGGTATACTACCAACCATCACGCTCATCACCGAAACATTCCTGTCATCCACCAACCCGTCCCGCAGATCATTTATAGCAACACGTCCCTACCAATGTTTCCAGGGGTATCACTTTCTCAATGGTATATGCTCATAACGTGAGCCCAGTATATTCTTCCGGACTCAATCTACTTATGATTGCGTATAGCAAGAAACTCGGAGTTGAGATGAATATAGTTTTTCACGAATTCCACTGGACCTTTGTGCATACAGGTGCATTCAAGCATAGTGGGATGGTCTAAGACTAGGAGTGAGACACAGAGGATACCAGGTTCAAGTCCTGCTAGGAAGTGGAAGGATTTGTCCAGCCGTGCTGCGACCAACAGTTAATTGGGAGCTCGTGGCCCGGCACGAGGGAAGCATGGATGCAGCAAATGGGATTGTCGGTCTCTGACCAATTTAGTGGGTCTGATCTACTCACCTGCCACCGCTTTAGGAGCTGCATTCACGCCTTGATTCCTGAAGGGTGGTGGCGTTCCTACGGATGCGGAAACCTCGGCCTCCAGGCGAGTCTAAGGCAAACCATGAATTTTTGTGTATGGGTACGCTGCATTTTGTGTTTGTTCCCTAAATGAAGCTGAGATACCAGATTTTGTAGACATCATGATAGCATTATTCACATGACCAATCTTCAACTAAAGAGGGAATATTATGTTCTTGGATTAGATGTGCGGCGGGCTCCCGATTATCTCATGTTTTTCTTTTTTACTTGCTTGCTGCTCCCGATTTTCTCTTTTTTTTTTAACTAAAAACTCAAACTAACCAAGCCAAAGGAACCTGGCAATTCCACGGTGACTGTGAGATTGGCTCGGCAGCAATCCTACGTATTACTAGTATTGTTGTTTACAAATGAGAGTCCTCCGACGCGGTAGAATGCTCACTATTCGTTCGAATAGAGCTATTTTACACACGGCACAGAGTACCACGCATAATTCGTTGTAACTATTGGTTTCATGCCCATAGGCAATCATCAGACAACTTTTAGTAATAGGTTTTTCATTTGACCGGACGAGAAAACACGAGGCTTGCAGGTTCTCCGTCATCTTTATGGAACGAAACAAGACTTGTCCGGAGTATTACTACTTGCTTTCGTGGAGTGTGGCTGGAGAACTGTTCGTGCTGTGGTCTGAAAGCGTCGTGTCGTCTTGTCAGGTCGATTAAAAAACCTATTATTACTATTTGACGGACCTATTGAAGATGGCAACAAAGAATTAAGGTAACTTTTAGTACAAAGAATGATGCGTTGTGCTCTGTACCATTTTTGTGTTTATTTATGGAGGTAACAATTTTAGGAAATTAGAGGCCGCATGCTACATACTGCTCTTTTCTCCCCGAAACTCAACACTTGCAAGCCAGATATGAAAGAAAGAAAAAATCATCAGTCACACCACCAGGACTCGAACCAGGGACCTTGCTATTCGCGAGCAATGCTCTAACCAACTGAGCTACAGTATGACTCTTATCCACAGTGATGGTAAATCTATCCTTTTTCGATCAATCATTATCTGGCTTGCATCATCCTGGCAACTCACACCAATCAAGAGGGCCCTCGGCCATTCGCTTGATATCATGGGGAGCGCATCAAACTATGTCCACTGCGAGCAAATTTTGATAGAGCAATAAAAAGAACCAAATCTGCCGTAACCATCACGTGGTAACGAAGTCAATTGTTTTCCATAATCGAATGCAACAACTGTGAAGCGAGAGAAACAAAACAAAAAAAATTCACGGTTCGCGTGAGACTCGGCCAAAGGCCCAGTTTTCCGCATCCGCAGGAACGCCACCACCCTCTTGCATCAAGGCGCAGATGCAGCTCCTAAGCGATGGGAGAAACAAACTATGGAAAAAACATGGGAAGAACTTACCAAAACAATTTCAGCGCAACAACATGCTTCTTTTGTTTACAGAGCACAGGTTTACGCAAACGAATACACACAGCTTCAAGAACCTTCAACTGACGAGGTTACCGTGCACGACACAACACAGAAAAACAAAAATCATCGTACACTTCCAAACACTTAGGGTGATATAAAAATGCAAAAACACAGCTTCTGACGATCATCATCTCCATCCAACTTACCATCACCATCATCCGCAGCACCATCATCTACGTCACCCTCCGATCCCTCATCCGTGACAATCTCCGACTCTTCCTCCGCTCCATCCTCCTGCTCGAACTCGGTCACGTCTGCATCCTGTCCATGTTCATTGGACGCCACTATTTAACTCCTCATTTCATCAGTATGGTAAGTACTTGTGCATGATGTTATTCAGTCACGATATTCCCACAGATGATAATGACATGAAAATCGATTACGAAAAACAATTGACTTCCCTGATGCATGATGGATACGGCAGAGTTGGTTCTTAAATGGAGGTACATGCATATCATGACTTTGTGTTTCAGACCCTGCATGACACCCCTCTACACGACAGGCAATGTTGGTCTGATAACCAGATGTGTTCTGGCCATCTGGATACGATCCTGTTGGCCCTATCAGCATGGCAACCCACATGTACATGTCTGACACACACAACAGAGGCAAAAAGCTGTGTTAGATACTGCTCTGTGCATTCGTACATTGAGCACTCTACCTCGAGCTTCCTAGACCGGTCTTGTTTGTACATGTATGATGTGTAGTCAAGCTATAGATAGACGATATCCATCGTGCTTTGGAGCCGAGACATCTGGCCAGCTGAGCTTAATGGACCCCACCACCACACTGCATTATTCACCCAAGTGTCTGGAGATGTGTGGATTTTGTAGAGAAGAAAAAGACCCGTTTCGTCCTTTGTGGACTCATCAGCGCAGCACAGAGAAAATGAGACCGAACCTGATAGCCATGAAGTATACATGTTCCCAAGCGAGATTTAATCTTGCAGGAGTGCTCCAACTTACAAGTCAGTACGTATAATGTGTATAATGTTTTCTGTAAGTTGAGACTGCAACACAACCTCGTGAACGTGCGCACGATCCGAGAACAAGCACGGGTTGTGTACAGCACCCTCCGGAAGTGTTCAGTCCAGTTGGATAACATGCGCACGTCTCCGGCGGAAACCCAACATTTTGCCTTGCCATGGTCTGCGTTTGGCGAGCGTACCCCATTCACACGACTGCAGCCAAATTTCACCTTTAGCACTTTAGCAGGACAGACGCTAAGGGATGATTTCTCGAAAATTCTGTATCAGCATAATACCATACTTTCTTTCACTACAACGAATGTTGACAGATGGCGGCTAAAAGTCGTGCTGGTAAGCTACAGTGTTATCAAGGGGAGCTGCTGCTCAAGAAGCCTCCTGGTGACCATACCGTTATCATGAGTCTATATAAGAGCTCAGGGAATCGCCATTTCACCGCTCCTTCACTGTGAGCTCCAGACTACTTGCCAAGATGTCAAACGAAAAAGCACTGTCGGATTTGCGCGCTAAACTGGGCAAAAAGTATCTAGACAATGTCTACGTTAAGCTGCTTCAGGATGCCAGAGCGCCAAAGCTGGACGTACGAGACTTGTACGTTAACTTGACCATCGTGCAGCAGCGAGAAGTGAAGAAAGTTTCGAAAACTGCTAATAGTTCGCATAGCGAGGAGGCTCTCTTTCTCCAGTTAGGCAATGCAAAAGATCGTGACGAGCGTGTTGCATTGTCGGACATATTTGCATCAGCCAAGGAATCTAGGTGCTCGTCGTGTCCCGTCCATACCGTCGCTTTGGTAGGCCCAGCAGGAAGTGGTAAAACAATGGCGGTGACTAAGAAGCTACCGTTGCAGTGGATTGATGGAGAGACGCTGAAAAATGCCGTACTGGTCTTCATTATCACCGTGCGTAGCGTTCACGAGCGACTGCGTGGAGTGGCCAAGGATCGGGTAGCCTCCACACGCGCGCAGAGTCTGGAAGAGCTGGTCCGCAGTTCAGCACGAGAACTGGACGATGACGATATTGGAACAGTGATGGAGTTCCTTCGTCATAACGCTGACTGGGAGAAGGTCTTGTTTGTTATTGACGGTAAGGGCAAGTGTGGTATGAAAACACCTTTAGAGGGCCCATTTTCGTCAGGTGTAAATTGGTTTTGTGCTCAGATATCGCACTGTTTTACTGTTTCTTGCCTTGATGCTGTAGTGGACAGTGAAAATTGCTATATCCTCGCGGTGCTGCAGGATACTTTGCCCCATGTTTTCAGCTCAATGAAATTTTTAGAATCCTGTACGTCGCTTAACTCAGCTTGAAAATGCGGGGTGAGACTTATTGACCTTCGCAGTGCTGCGTAAATTGGAGTGGGCACGAGTAAGACAAGGGATAAATTATTAGTTTAACCCTTATGTTACTCGTGCCCACTCCTTTCTTGGAGATGTTTTTTATGACTGAAACCTTGAACGATAATTACCTCCCTGATGAAGACCCAAGGCCAACAACTTGAGTGTAATATCTATTGAAGTTGCAGTGTAAAGGTAAAGACCGTGGTGGTAATTATAAGACATGCATTTTTGAATGTGTTTTTATAGGACACGTGGTTGCTGCTCACGTGCATAATATCATTATTACCGCGAATGAATGCTAGCATACATCAGTATGCATGCTGACGTCATGTGACATGTCATTCGACTCAGCTTCGCGCCTGTGTTGCTATCCCGGCACTTTTACTGCATCAGTGGCATCCAGACTGAAGATAGTGCAGATGACATGGAGTGATCTGTAGTCAACACAGCAATACACCAACACCTCTGCAGCAACCTGTGGTGCACTAACACTTCATAATCATTATTTCTGATCTAACATGGTATTTAGCTCCATAACCATAATAAATTTGTAGAAAGGCCATTTGTCAATGATTGTGAAAAATTTTGGTTTGTGGGTGCGGCTTATACTCCGAATACCAACTTTTAGTCAATATTTTGCTTCAAAAAGGGGGGTGCGGCTTATACCCCGGTGCGGCTTATACCCCGGAAAATACGGTATTTGCCTCTTTTTCAAACTTTCTTTCTGCTTGTAGGCATAGATGAGGGCTGCATCATGGATAGCGTACTCTACAGGCTAATCACAAGAGACCTGGAGGACATATCACCGTACTATCTACTATTACTCACGGCTAGGCCCTGTCCAACCATACACTGGCTGTGGGAGGTGGGCGACATCGATCGATACCTCTCGCTGCGCGGATTCGACCAGGTGTCGCGCGCGGACTTCTTCGAGCGCTACGGCTCTCTGCACTACGGTCCTGACTGGTCGTCGATGCGTCACAATCTCACAGTGTTCCTGCGTAAGCTGGACTCATTGCACGTGGGACGCCTCACCTATCTTCCCTTTATGGCCACGCTGTGCGTACACGCCATGCCCAGAGCGGATCCGTCCAGCTTGCCACACTGCGCCACGCAGCTGCTCCAGCTGCTCGTCATGGCGTTGCTGAAACGTGATCTACGCAGTGGTCCGGGTGGCTCGCGACAGTTCTCCCAGTTCGCTCACCTACGCGGTCCACAGCAGAAAGCCATGCAAGAGATGGCTGCATTTGCCTACAGGATGACCGCTGAGAGAGCAATGGTGGTGGAAGACGCTGGAGACGACTCGCCATGGAGCGGGCTCGCTGCTGATGTCAGCGAACAGTTTGAGTCACTCCTCTCCTGCCTAACCCTGACATTTGATGACACTAGAGCGGGACAATCGCTGGCGATGCGGCAGTTTGTTCACCTCACTGTCCAAGAGCTGCTCTGTGCATATCACGTCATTCGCCAGTTCGAAGGGGAGGACGGGCTAAGTGCCTTCAACAAATGTTTCTCCACTGTCGTACGTGCCACCAACCTGGGTGACCAGTTTACGTATCTGTTGGTGTACATAGCAGGTATGGCAACACCCACGCAACACGTTGCAATCTTTCACGCTATGATGACGGAAATGTATGCGGAGCAGGAATCCGCCAGCAGTAGTACCCGTCTCTCTGGTGGACGCTACCGGACGAACTTGTCTATGGTCCTCTTCAAGATGCTCAGTGAGGCCCATCAAGCCACAGCACATGATGACCAGCAAAGGGCGCGTCAACAGGCAGAAACGCCCCTGAGTGTCGTGGCCAAATCTATCGCCAATTTCAATGACAACTGGATCAGGCTTCCGACTGAGCACTCGAAAGACCAGTTACAGGATGTAGGAGCGTCAGATGCCCTGGTTTTGCTCCAACTAGCCGATGGCCTGTTCACAACCATAATGGACCTCCCAATTGGCAGAACCCATTCCATCTCCGCTAGTGATATCTTCGAGACTTTGCTGCTCTACCAAGGAAACTGCCCGGACCTGCGGATTCGCCTGCACACGTCTCAGGGAGAGGACCGAGCTTTCTGCCGCTTCTTGTCAAGTTTCACGGGCGTCTTCAGCTTCCTAAGTGATCTCGAACTAACCTGTGAAAATACTTACATATTCTCACAGGAAGAAATAGATCTCCTTGCAGCCGTTCTCTCGTCTATGGCGTCGCTTAAGGTCCTGCGAATCCAAAAAGCCAAGATGGAACCACTGGTGTTTCGCAGTCTCACTGAAGCCATCAAAACAAATAGCTACATTCAGCGGCTGGCCAATGGGAAAGTCACAGAGTCGCTATGGCAGCCAACATGCGAACTTATCGCAGGAACACAGCATATCGACCATCTCTCTATCCGCGTGAACTTTCGCTCGTGTTCCGACGTCAGCGGATACAGTCATCAGCTGTGCAAGGCTCTCGAGCAGAACAGCAGCTTGCGTCAGTTCGCCGTGTTCGGCTCTAAACTGCCAAAACCTGGTGGTGGCATGGCTTCCGACCTCGCCTCAGTTGTAGCCAGACACAGTACGCTCCAGGAATTTGAACTAGGATGCACCTTCTTTCACCTTGATGACAACGCATTGTATTCCGTCATGGACAGGCTCACTGGTGCTCTGAAAGAAGATCCTGAAAGCAGCCGACATCTTCCGCCTAAGAGGATTGTCATTACCTCAGGCGATGCCACAACGAAGACCGGAATCCATAGTGTTCTGCAGCTGGTGGAGGCGACTGGACTGAGCACCAATGACCGTTTGAAGGTGGATGTGCACGGCAGTGTGATTAGTAATGATGCTGAGGCTGCAGATCTTTGCAGACTCTATCCATCATTTCAGCCCAAAGACGTCTGGTGGACGCGGCACATAACACAGCCCAAGTATTCGCAGGTAAGGGCACATGATCCTATACGCTCTACATACAGGCATGCAGTTCTGGGCCAGGCCATACAACGCTCATTGTAACGCACTCTAGTGCGCACACACACACGCGCGCGCGCGCGCACACACACACATACACAAACAAACAAATATGGACAGGAATAATTATGCGAATCTGAATTCGTACTACGACCTTACCAATTTGACACACTCCACCATTCCACAATGCGCTCTTGACTGGGGTCACCCACATTAACAACACCAGCAAGGACACTCATCCTTTTTAACGAGCGCAAGAAAGGGCAGTATGGAGTGACGGAGGGGCTTAAATCGTTTTTCACAAGGCCAAGCTTAGCGTCTTAAAAACCTTACCAATCTTTGCAGCCTAGAGAGCGTGTGTGGGCAGGCGTGTGTTTACCGCCATGTTGCCGGGTGTGTCTTTACCACCATATTTATCAACCATAAGTACAGCTGCAGTGGTGTCTTTACCACCATATTTATCAAGCATAAGTACAGCTGCAGTGGTGTCTTCAACTTCAATCTAGGATATTTTAAAATATTTTTTTAATCTTGTAACTCTTGTTGCAGTGGTGGATAGTTGCTAGTTGCTTCATAACTCATTTCCATGTGAATTCTTATACTTTAACCTGGTATATCCTTCTTTTAAAGACTATCAATTTCTGGGGAAAGTACAAATTGATCAGACGCACTACAAGCCTATTGTATTTTGCCAAAGGATAGGCTATACATCTCCAGGAGTGTAGAAATATAATTATGTACTAGTAGTTTTGAAATCACTACTTCTTCCGTTAACCCGTTTCCTGATCCAATCTTACCACCTTTCTTCAGATTGGATTGGAGCAACTAACCGCCATTTTGGAGGCGAGGGAAAGTGCTAAGGATGTCAATGGACTCAGCAGTGATGCAAGGTAAGTTTTTTTCATTCCGTTCACACATAAGAAGTGTATGAACATCGTGCGTCTATGCCAAAATTAATATTTTCATTGGTTGCTATCGGAGCTTTGATACAATGTAATTATATTGAGCAATGGAAATTAGAGGTGTCCATTCGTGATGATCATTATTGCTTCAAATCTCTCTTTCTCTCGGCCTTTCTCTCTCGGCCTTTCTCTCTCTTCATCTCTTTTCCTCTCTCTCTCTCTCTCCCTCTCTTTCGCCGTCTCTCTCTCTCCCTCCCTCCTTGTGTTTCTCTCTGTCTCCCTGTGTTTCTCTCTCTCTCTATCTATCTATCTATCTATCTCTCTCTCTCTCTCTGTTTCCCTCTCTCTCTCTATCTCTATCTATCTATCTATCTATCTCTTTGATGCCAGGAAGGAAGATCCACATGCCGCTCATACCATACCGACAGCAGGTGAGAGGATTCCTGATCTGAACATCCTATGCATAGCACGTGTATTCCTCCAGGTCCCGGTATCAGCTCTGACGTCCTCATACGACCTGCATGTGTTTACACGTAGATTACTTGTATACTAATTTTCGCGTGTATTTTATGCTAGGTTCAGTACATTTCCACAACGGACCACTGTGACACCAATGTGTGCTGTTTGTGCATTCCCGTTCTTCTCTGCAGATGACCCCTGGCTACATCCCTGCTATCTTGGTCACTATCGCGATCGCATTCTCTGCATTGATCCGGAGTTACTGCGCCTCTCCACGCAATCACAAGGCCTGCTGGACAATAGCCAGTATGTGGACCTTCGCACAGTGCAGTCGGCTGGTGCACTCGTGCACAATCAGAGGTGCCTGGAGTACGCACGCACCTTCACGAAGGTAGTCGATTCGAATGTTTTTTGGTTTTTTGGTTTTTTTCTCTTCAAAATCCACGTATCTCCAGGCACTGGGGTGAATAATGGAGTGTGGTGGTGGGGCCCATTAAGCTCAGACGACGAGAGGTCTCTGCTTCATAGCTCCATGGAGGCACCAAAGGGAAATCGGGTAGGGAGGATTAAGTTGAAAATAAAACAGAAAAGAAGAAAGAAAATGAAAAGATTGTATTGCTCAGTGAGCAAAAGAATGAGTTGAGTACTGACGTGAACGCTGTTAGACTTTTAAATTCAAGAGGAGACTGTCTGTGAGGAGAAGTTTAGGTCCAAGCAGAGTAGGACACTGCACCCTCTTACTCGATTACATGTACCGGTATGCTATGAGTGGCTCGGTGCCAGTTTATTCTGAGGAGATAATACTTGTGTTAGTAATTGTTCTTACATGCAGAGTCAGTTTTACTTAACACATAATGCTCCGAACCTAGGAGTGGGAGTATATGAAGAGAAAATGAATTATTTCTTCAAGTACTCGTGTCCTGACTACTGTATGTTCTGTAGGTAGTCGATGGTGCCGGGGCAACTGACGGTCATGATGGCCCGGCGAGCGGCCGAATGGAGGCTCTGAGTGAGCCTGCTGAGTCGTTCCAGCGCCTACTCCGCGCACTGGAACACATGGGCTATAGAGCATTACGCGTGGAGATGGAAGAACGCATGTTCAAGTTGCACCCGGACACTGGTGTCCAAACGCTGCAGATGGATGACTCAAACAAACCCGGTATGTACATAATTGTACTTCGAAGTACATGATTGTGCAGGTCCATGTATACAGTTATGTACATGTAGAAAGGCCTGAAAATGACTAACTACATGTAGTAGCTGCATAACGCTAAGTGAATCCGTGGAGACGTTTTCATTGGGTATCATGCTCCTCAGCTTTCGTCTTGTTGAGCACTCGCGGTAGGCTGCTCTAGTGGTGCTGTATCACGCATTGCCCGCTACTTTCCGTAGTTTTAGCACTCTGGCGCTTGAGCGACGAGCTATCCTAATGTCTGTGGTGCCTCCTTTGCACCATGGCTAGTAGGAGCAGCTCGGCTTGCACGTAGCTGTACTGATGAGCCCTTTATGGCCAAAACAGCTTGCTGTCCACAGCAATGGGTATTACGCTCCTCGGATTTCGTCTTGTTGAGCACTCTCGGTAGGCTGCTCTAGTGCTGCTGTATCACGCATTGAATGCTAAATTTCGTAGTTAGAGTACTCTTGCTTAAATCTCGTAGCTGTACTGATGAGGCCTTAATGGCCGAAACAGCTTGCTCTCTACAGCATTGGGAGATATTTTCTGTTGAGGAGATCATTACGCATTCATGTCCGCTCTGGCCTTACGTTCATTCAGATCGGACACTTAGTATAGTCCTGCTGGCTTTTTCAAAAAGTCTGTTTTTGGTCGAATTTAACCACCCGTCGAGCTAATTTCAAATATTTGGGGTGTGAAATCTGTTTCGCCGTGCATTTTCCCGTGGTATACCTGTCCAATGCTAGCAGCTCTGTCCTGCGTTTGTTTTCATCGCTTTGCACGCAATCCGATAATATTGAGGGAGCGTGAAGCTCAGCCGAGTGACATGGCTTCGACTTATCCTGTGCAAATTGCTGCAATTGTCAATCACTAAGCTAACAATTGAAACTTCTCGAACTATTGCTATTTCTGTGCTTATCGCTTAGTGGATCCGTGGCAGCATGAAGGCTTCGACATGCGTTTCCACGCCTGGATTCTGTCCCTGCCGTCTGGCACCCTCCGTGCCCACTCGCAAGCCCATGGAATGCTCACATTGTTCATGGTCGCCTCGCTCGTGTCCTTGGAGAGCAGGCGAGGATCGCTGGCTCACAACGACACCTACCTCATCTACATACGACCGAATGGCGTGCAGTCGTTCGTCAAGTTCTTGAACGTCATCCAGGGCAACCCTCTGTACAGGCTCCGAGTGAAGGAGATGAGCTGCTTCTTGCCAGTCGACTTACAAGAGCCATTCCTTGAGGATTCAGGTAGGTAATCCACCGTGTCTGTGTGTGTATGTGTGTGTGTGCTTGTGTGTGTGTGTGTGTGTGTGTGTGTGTGTGTGTATGTGTGTGTGTATGTGTGTGTATGTATGTATGTATGTGTGTGTGTGTATGTGTGTGTGTGTGTGTGTGTGTGTGTGTGTGTGTGTGTGTGTGTGTGTGTGTGTGTGTGTGTGTGTGTGTGTGTGTGTGTGTGTGTGTGTGTGTGTGCATTGCTCTTACCAATTCTGGTCCTGGTGCTCACTCAGTAACTGGGTACGCACTGCCAGCGTTTGCATATTCATCGCAGGAAATCTTAGAGTACAGTACAGCTAAGCGAAATCAGATCTTGTATATCTGAAGCATTGAAACACGTGAATTCAAATTGGTTGTGTTTGTCCTTTCCGTCATGATGCAGATAACGGATGGAACGCATGGAGTGTGTTCCGACATGCTTCATCTGAGACAGAAGACGAGCAGATGTTGCTACTGGCCCGCGCTGCAGAACGCGATTCCGAGAGGTCACGTGGTTTCAACGTGTTCACCAGCTGCGCCAATCCCTCGAGGCATAATGTTGCTGTTCGCGGAAGCTGTGCCGATTCCGTGCACAATTATTTGATAACAGTTAGCAGTCAACGAGGTATCAGCACTGCAACGCACCACCTCCTCGATCACTAGGAACGCAATCCAGACGTCTGCTAAAATACCTAGAGAGCCTGATCTACATTGTACATAATAACTGCAGCTAATGCTCATCCATTTTCATTATATCTTCAGAGTTTGGCGGGCGCGTCATCTGCTATCACGTGGAACTTTATTCTGCCTAGAATACGAGTACTCAGTATCTTCGTGGCATGGCAGTGACAGAATAAGGCTATGAACTTGAAATTTGTTGATAAGGGTTTCACCGTTCTTGTGTTTCCTGTTTTTTTTGTTTTTTTTTTACTCTTTTCGGCCAGTATGGCCACTGCTGTATTCACTTCGTCTTCCTCTCCCTCGTGAGACACAGGAAAGTTGATACTAATATTGGGGTGTGAGTCCGCCTCTCCTGAAGAGACCCGCTTGATCCGTAGTAGTGTTTCTTTGCAGTTGAGTAGGAACCGCGGCGTACCAGTACGCCTATAACTGTAGTACCTCGGTCCCAAACCTGCTCTTTCAAAAAGAACAACATTTCTTGTTTATTTCGTTTAAATGTCTACAAAAGTGTCAATATTATTATATATATGGCGCGTCACACTTGAACGGTGGCTCAGCAGTACGAGACTGAAAGGGAGAAAGAAACATTTGAAGTTTGAACCTTCCAACACCTTTAGCTCACGATCGCATACAAAACACATCGTGGTAGATATTTTTTGACCGGACGAGACCAGACTCTACAAGAGCTAGAAGTTGCTCCTGACAAGTCTTGTTTCGTTCCATTATGATGTTAGGAATTCATCAGAGGAGAAATGGAAACGTCTTTATACAGGGTGCCGACGGTAAAATGTGTCCAAGTTCCTGGCGAAATGAATTGGGTATAATTATTTCTTGAAGTAGTCTATTTATGTTACTACAGTACTCCGAGTTTCAATGAGCATCTTAGACAATCGTCAAGGATCATGGCAAACTGATGCATGTCAGAAGTTGGAGTTGCGGGCACGCACGGAAGAGGCGAGGCAGCGATGAGCTGCAACAGTGAAATTTAGATCGTATCTTCATATCACCATCCGAAGCTGTGACTGCGATTTCTCAGTGGCTTGTACATACCGGCCTACTACTACAACGCTAAGAAGACTCAACCTCATGGCACTGATTTCAATATACCAGATGTTTGATGTGGTAATGAAAAGCTCTTGGTCACTACCAACGCTGTGTGACTTGGAATAATCATTGACATTATCTTGGAGCGACACTGACGCACACTGCTATCTGGTGTTCACGTGGTGTTTACGGCCGTGAATATGGAGCGCCTGCGTAAGCTTGTATCCTGGTTATGGTGTGGCCTTGAAAAAATATAAATGATGCTCTTCAGATTCCACTTGATGAGGGGTGAATTCCCCGAAACACTGTGCATCGAGCAGGGAGTGGTGCTTCCTTGCAGGTTTGCCGAGTCGAAGGTTCGATAGACTTCTGGTGTGCGCTGGGTGGCAGCGGTGAGTCAGTCAAGTGTCAAGTCAAGTTGGTGGAAAACTGCGAGCTCCGGTGTGGGAAGCGAACCCCTTTCCTATGTAAATTGAAGTCAATTTAGCCAATAGAAGAGTCTGCTTCAGGCATTTTGCATTTTGCCAGCATTATGTGGTTCAATTTTCATTCACATTGCCAGCTTGGTCCGTGTCCTAGCAAACTCGCGTTGCAGTGCTTCTTGTTTGTTTGCGTTTTACTGAATATACAACTTACTCAAGTGAAGATAATGGGAGATATGCCCCCCCCCCCCACACACACACACACAAACATCGGGGAGAGTAGGGACTCCAAGATGAAGCAGGTGCTGGTGAGGCACGCCAACAAACTCGGCCTCTGCTGTTGGCGTTAGTTAGTACCAGCGTACACTTCATGACAAAACATTGTATGTACATGTTTATTCCACAACCATTCTAGTCGTATGGGCGCCAAATGTGTCATAAGGCAGCAGAAGCAAACGAAAAAAAGAGAAAAGACTAACCGCATTAACTAAAACGCTGCCTACACTTATCACGATCAGCAGCAGCAGCAGCGAGAGAGAGAGCACATGGATTGTATGATTCATGAGTGATATACCATAAATCGGGGCGAACAGAGATAGAGGCTCAGAAGATACGAGAGTGGGCGAGGGGAATGGGAGATGAAATACTAATTATCATATGAGAAAGACTCATGGTAATCTGAGCCTCACTTTCATCTCGAAGAATGTCAGCCCCCGCAAGGCTGGGGAGAATCGTCTATCATGCAAAACATAGTAACACCAGGCATACCACCATCCAATTTTAAGTTGAGTGGCGCAGTTTGCATGAGGACTGCTATCATTGTCCCGATCATGAGTGGTGAAAGGCATTTCGTGATACTCCAGACCTTGTCCCGCTGGAATAGTAAAGGACGACTCTACCGTGCGACTGACTGTTAGACGATAAAGTTCTTCTTCGCTTTCAACTCTCATCCAATTGTACTTAACGAAATGAGTAGCAGTCCGTGTTGCGAGATCAATGCGAACTTCGTACGTCTGGTTTTGCGTCAGTGTATGTATCCGGTCGTTTCCCAGCCAGAATTTCCCGTTCAGGTCTCCAAACCCATTCTTATAGGCTGCCCAATCACGATTCCAGAAGGTAGAGTCAGGTCCGAGCGATCTCAATACAACTAGCCACCCACCACCGTCCACGGACATATTGCAAACAGTTTGGAATGAAGTATTGTGAACGTTGGCTGTCACTACCCGGGTTCTGCTGCTTCTGACGGTTGTAGCACCGCTCTGCCGTACGCATCTACCCGATTCTGTAATGGAGAGAACACACATACACATTAAACAAGCATGCACTAGTTTGTGAACATCTTATTGTTAACCTACGTTTCTACTAATTGATCTCTGACCTAATGCCATTCATTCTTATATGGTCACTGATGACAATGGGTTGAAAGGCTTTGTTGGAATTGTTTTCTGCCGCTTAACCAGTTTACATTGGGACGTTTGCCAAGTCTTTGGCCGCATAATCGGCCTGACACTGCAATTTTCCCCTAATACTGGGGGTGCGTCGCTTCAACCCAACAATGTCTACTACTGGCCTCTGGTTTTCCATTCAACGTAACACTGTGTAGATTTCGGTTAGCTCACTCTGTCCTTAACAGGAATATCTTCGCTGTGCTGTATTTGAATTTAATTATTTAAGGATTCCCCAAAGGCTGTTCGCCTGTCAAAGGGGTTTCCTGTTTTCGCTTGAGTGATGAAATACGTGGGATGGGAAAATTGGTAAGAGAGGGAGGAACAAATAAGAAGAGAAAAGCAGAATGAATTTGGATGGAGAGTCAAGGGTTGTTTATAAAAAGTAAAAAAGCGCCAAGGAACTACAAGTTACACTATAATGTCCACTGCCACCACCAGTTACTAAACAATCATCTCGTGCGATAACATTTCACGACACTGACAGACGGTACTGACGTTCTACAACTAACTGGCTAACAGCTCTAGCACATCTCGGATGCGCACTCCAACAGCCTTCCAACTTGGAAGGTTCTAAGTTATAGAAATAACATAACCTTCCAAGTTGGAAGGCTGTTGGAGTGCGCATCCAAGATGTGCTAGAGCTGTTAGCCAGTTAGCTGTAGAATGTCAGTCCCGTCGGTCAGTGTCGTGCAATGTTATGGCATGAGCTGATTGCTTAGTAACTGGGGGTGTTAGTGGACATTATAGTGTAACTTGTAGTTCCTTGGTACTTTTTACTTTTTATAGAAAAGCAGAAGAAACATTCTAACGTCAAGGGCAAGTCTTTTGCAAGAGTATCGATGATGTAAAGTGCGCTTACGAAAAAGCTGCTTTTAAGCAGCTTTTGAATTTAAAAATTCGGAGACAGTGTACAGCTAGCTGCTTGACGTTCGCATGGCTCACAAGCGGAGCTCAAATCATCAGTACAAGAATTGAGAACCAGTAACTGACCCAGAGTGTTGTAATGAAAATCATGAAGAAATTACAAGATGCTGCTGGACAATTGCAGGATACTGGTGGACACTGCACAATCGAGAACAACATAGCCGCCAAATATGACAAAGGCGGCGGAAATGGGGAATTGATCCTATTGCCAAAACGTGTGTTTTCAAAGCCTTTCCGCGGGTGGATGAAGAGCTTATTTGATGGTCATTCATTTTTATTATCTGAAAAAGCAACGCGCATAATCAATATCAACCACATCCCCGCACTATGTGCTGGTACATTGGATACAAATTATTTTGATAGTTCGACTGTGAGAGGATTTAATCTTACCTGCTTCTTTCAATCTGATTTCCTCTATTGCGCGCGACATGGATTGAATGGACAAAGTCTGCACACAAAAAAAGTGATAGCCAAATACATGTAGGACAGTCATTAGCAAACAAGAAACTGTACACGTAGTACACGTAGTACACTTAGATGAACTTGCCACATAGTGAGCAGACACCCACGCAGCCATTCCACTTTATCTTCTTTAGGTCTCTAAACTACAGAATTATTATCACTCAATATTGCCTGATGATCGTAGTAATACGTGAAACTCAGAGTTGTAACAAAGCTTCCAAACTCTCTCTCTCTTGTATTATCACTCCATATGAATCTACAGTACTGTGATCACAACTTGCACGGAGTCACCATCACCAGGACTCGATACATTTGTACACGACCCAGCTTTCGAGCAGACCTTTCAAGTGAACTACTAGCAACTTCTACTTCAAACGAAGTAGCAACTAAGAGAAGCAAGTAACAGTACAGATAACTAGCATCACAATTTCACAAGGGTGGAAACTATAGCAACCAAGTGATAGATTTAGCGACGAAATAGGAGAGGAGAGAGAGAGAATCAAAAGGAAACAGAAACATAGAATATGAGAAATGTAACAAAAGGGATGAGATGCACTGTTCACAGATGCAGGCAACAACTATAAATAGTGGAACCATGTCTGTCAGTGAACAGGTTGAGAAATATACGTATGTAATATCTCTCCAAACCAACTATTGTCTTCAGAACGGCGAGGAGACATAATTTCACGAGCCGCAATCAAGACGAAGAGCTTGCTCTATTTCAGTGTGTCAAGTACTACAACCAATACAGTCTTTAGAAAGGATTAGGAAACCTTCTCAGGATCACTCGGGGAATTGACCTGCCTGAGAAGAGCACAAAGTGACTTCAAAATCACCAAGACTCGAACCCGGGGCCTTGCTTATGCTCAAACCATCTGAACTATGAGACCAGGCTGAACCTAGAAGGCGCTGACACATTTTTTTTAAAGAAATTCACTTCCCCGACTGATCCTTTGAATTGGAAGTTCTACCAGTCCTTTCGAAATTGATCATTTTCTTTCATCTCTGCAGTAGATTGCAGAAACTGACCGTCGTTGGTCCCAGGGAGGGGGGGGGGAAGTCCCATGTGC